TTCACTCCAAAGCAACTGGGAGGGGCTAGGAAGCTTCCCACGCCTCTGAGTTCTTCGGTGGCCGCAAGTCCACCCCCCCCTCCTGAGGGGGATTGGAAAGCTAAATACCGTTCTGCCTTCTCCAGTGAGGATGAGACTGTGATTCGTGCCTTTCCTGACTGTGTGCGCGACCCCGAGGGGTTTGTTTACTCCAGCCACCGGCTTTATGTCCCAATTTCTCTTCGCAGGGACATCCTGCACTCTGCGCATGGCTCCAAACTGTCGGGCCACTGGTGTTTCGTCAAATCTCTCCAACTCCTACGCAGACAGTTCTGGTGGCCACACATGCGCAAAGATCTTCTGGAGTTCGTACGCTCTTGTCAGACCTGCGCACTGTCCAAGCCCCAACGGGGGAAGCCGGCTGGACTCCTTCATCCTCTCCCCACCCCTTCCAGGCCATGGGAAGTGGTTTCTATGGATTTCATCACTGACTTGCCTCCCAGCAAAGGGAAAACAGTGATTTGGATTGTGGTTGATTTGTTCTCTAAGCAAGCTCATTTTGTACCGTTCCCTAGCTTGCCCACTGCCCAGGCTTTGGCTAAAGCCTTCTTCGGTAACGTGGTCCGCCTCCATCTTTTGCCTGCCAAGGTCATTTCAGACAGGGGGACCCAATTTGTTTCTAAATTCTGGCGGGAATTGTTGTCTCTCATGGGGGTGGAGCAGGGATTGAGCAGCGCTTACCATCCCGAGACTGACGGACAAACAGAACGTCTTAATCAAACCTTGGAACAATATTTGCGTTGTTTCACAAACTATCAACAATCTGATTGGTGTGACTTGCTCCCCTTAGCAGAATATTGTTATAACAATACGGTTCATTCTTCCATTGGTATGTCTCCTTTTAAAGCTGTATTTGGATACGATAGCCCTCCTCTCCCTTTTCTTGACAGGTCGGGGGATGACTCCAAACCCCATTCTGATGCGGACTCGTGGTGCCAGTCTCTACAATCAGCTTGGCCTCTACTGTGTCACACTCTTGATTTGGCTAAAGAAAAATATAAAGTGCAAGCTGATAAACATAGGGCTAAAGAATGGGATATCAAACCTGGTGATTCGGTTTATGTTTCCACAAAAAACATTAAAATGTTACGTCCCAGTAAAAAACTGGGTTGGAAATACATTGGTCCATTCAAGGTTCGCAAAGTGTTGAATGGTGTGGCTGTTGATGTACTTTTGCCTAAAAACTTACAATCTTTACATTCTGTATTCCATGTCAGTTTGTTGAAAAAAGATACTGGTCAATGTCAATGGAGGGACAGTAATGTTCAACCACCTCCTGTTTTGGTGGACGGCCAGGAACATTATGAAATTTCTGGCATTCTTGATTCCCGGCTCAAACGTGGTAAACTGTGGTATCTTGTGGAATGGGTTGATTTCGGTCCCCAGCACCGCGAATGGGTGGAAGAAGGGGATATTCGGGCCCCTTATCATGTTCGGGCGTTTCACAAGAAGTTCCCGGGTAAACCTGGAGGTCTCCCGGGCAAACCGGGAGATCTCCCGCCCAGGCCGGGAGACGGTGGGTAAGTGGTATTTTCGGGTGGGCAGTATGTCAGCGAGCTGCCATTTCTCTGGGATGTGTCCCTCTTCCCTCCCTCCCCGTGTTATTCTCTTCTGGTATGCGACTGTAACTGCCAAGCTTCTCCTACAGGTGGACGTTGGAGTGTTATGTCTTCTTGCCTTGCTTCATTAGATTCCCGTGTGAACTGAGCTTGTGTTTATGGTATGAGCAGTTGGAGTTCTCAGGCTGCTTCGCGCCTTTTCTAATCAACTCCCTTGCGAGGGAGTTTAGCCCATTGGGTTAACCAAGTTTGAAGTTCCTATATTATACTGCCCCTGTGTATTGTAGTCATTCTGGACAATTCTCTGTATGTTCATGATCAACCATGCTTTGGAAATAAATCTTACTTCTTTGGAACGTGGGTTTGTTCTCCTGCTTTGGGGGTCTGACAGGCACAAACGAAGCAAGCAAATAAACACATGAAACAGACACAGCAGGGTCTCGTTCTGCTGGGAAGAGTCTTGGCTTTGCATGCAGAAGGACCCAGGTCAGTCCCTGGCATCTTCAGTTTAAAAAGGACCACTGAGGAGGGAGAAGATTCCACAAGAGTCCTTCCTATTCATGTGATGACTGTGAAGAGGTAGCCTGGAACTGGATCCCTACACCACTCCCCAGATATGCACACCTGCTGCAAGAGGGAAGGGGCTGTGGCTCAGTGGGAAGGTCCCAGGTTCAATCCCCGGCATCCTCAGTTTTAAAAGGGCTGCACAGTAGACGATTTGAAAGGGCCTCGCCCTCAGACCCTGGAGAGCCGCTGCCAGTCAGAGCAGACAGGACTGACCTTGGTGGGCCAAGGGGGGTCTGATTCAGCATAAGGCGGCTTCATGTGTGTGTGTGTGTGTGTGTGTGTGTGTGTGTGTGTGTTCATCCGCATGGTGTGCAGAAGGTCCCAGGTTCAACCACCGGCATCTTCAGTTAAAACAGACCAGGTGGTAGGTGACATGAAAGACCTCAGCCTGAGACCTGGCGAGTCACTGTCGGTCGGTTGGAGAGGACAGGACCGGCCTCGATGGGTCGGGGTGGGGTGTCTGATTCAGCAGAAGATCTGTGTTCCTAGATCTATCTGTGCTCACAGGACCACTCAGAAGAACCACCTCAACAAGTTGGGAATGTGATTCTGGAGTCAGTCTAGACAACATCTGAGGCAACAACTGCTCATAGTGTCTACCCAAGGAAGAGCACAGCTGCCAGCCGAAACCAAGCTGGGCAAGCGACGCAGCAGAAAGGAATGGCAGAAGTCCTGGCCGAGGCAGAAGACAAATCTGGTGCTCGTACAGACCACTCGCAGGAGCGGCTATGAGTAAGAATGCGCTCACGGGACCCCTTGTCTCAGCCTAGTCAGAGGTGGCCCTCAGCCCGACTCAGGATAAAGTTCCAGGGTGAGAACTGGTCACAAGAGCAAGCCGGGTGCTGCGCTTGTCCACACTGTTGATCTGGCACATCTGGTTCCTGCCAGCCACCCAGCAACTGTGCAGATCCCCCAGCAAAGCACACATCTGACTGGGGAAGTCTGGGATCAGCACAGGGGAGAAGACAAGCCCTGTGCAGCACTGCACTTGCTCAGACCACTAAGGCTGCAACCAGGAATGGCTGCTATAGGTGCCGGTTCTACATCAGACTGCAAATGATCCACTACCGCATATGTAAAGGAATCCACGGGACAGTTATCAGACCAGCTCTTCAGAAAGGGACTCAGAAGTATTAAAACCAGAGATGTGGTTTTCAATAAAGAATCTGATATAAAACCATGCCAGAGCACAAAGGAAGCACCTACCAATATTGATCTCATCATCTGTCAGCGTGTCTCCAATAAAGTCAAACTGAAAGGACTGAAGCGTCTGAGAGAATTTCTGCACAGCCAAGGAATACACTAGGGAGAAGGAAAAAAATGAAACCATTTTAGGAATAAAGACTCAGGAATAGCAGCTACAGTTGTAGAGAGGATACCAGCCATCTGGATTTCGAGCTCTCCCCTGCAACCAAGTGAAGAGGCCCAGTCTGCAGACATCACCAAATCATTCAGGATGGTAAAAACCACATCTGGACCCCCCCCCCCGGACATTTCAACTGTCAGTTTACTTTCAAAATGAAAATATCTAGTCCTTTAACTTTTGGAGATGAAGGGACGTTCACCAGGCATATTCTACCCATCTAGTTGTTCATGAAAAGCAGCTTTGCTCCCTACCGTCCAACGTTCTAAGCAATCAGTGCAAAGCCACTGGGATAACTAAACACAAGTTTCTCTTCCCTAAAGTGCTGAACTTCACTGGTACTGCATGAATTCAATAACTGGATATAAATTAGACTCTCTGCATTTGTGTCATGCAGTTCCCCACCACCACAGGTCCTCTCCTCCTACAAGCCCACCACTCTGCATGTGTTTCATTCACTCATCTAATATCCTGTTCTGAAACTGACCCAAGAACATGGATTAAAAAAAAAACCCACCCCCTCCACACAATGGGACCACATACAGCTGAGGGAGATTTTTCTACAAATCTGCAGGAATCCCAATGTTTGTTTTAAAAAAACCCCACCTAATGAGGGGGACATGATGGGGAGCTGAGGACCCCCAAAGTCAAACAAAAAAATAAGCTCCTGTGAAACTCCATCAGGAGATCTCCCCCAGTATCCTCCTGTGGGCTGTAGGGCAAGGGCTGGAAGGGCAGAGGAGGGGCCAGCAGCCGTGGACAACAGACGGAGGCAAAGAAGTCAACAGCGGCCAAGGCAGCCACAGGGAGGGGGGGAGATAGACAGACGCCCTTCTCAAAAAGATGGGGAGGGGGTATTAATCTGCAGCGAGAGGGGGTTCAGCCCAGATTTCTCTAGTGCATTGCATTGGATTTAGACTGGTTCTCTTTTCTTTCTTTTTTTGACCCCCCCGAAGGGTTTTTTTAATTGCTTTTCTAATAACTACAAACAGAAAGTTAGGAAAGGGAAACTACAATCTAAAGGAGAAAGTAAAGAAAACCTTCTAAAAACCCAAGAGATGGTGATCATACATACACTTGCAAAATTACCTTTAAGCTTAAACGCAAGTTAACTTTAGTTGAAAATGATCATCTATTTAAATATTTAGAGATTCATCAACAAATCTAGTTTCATAAAAAGACTGAAAATATATACAATATACTTATTTTAGATACTCCAGAGTAGATTAACAATCTATTTTTTCCCCTTTCTGTGTCTCAATTGATAGCTTTGTTTGGGGGCAGCAGCCCCCAATTTAGAGTCAGCCTCTCCTTCTTCGCTTTCTTTGGCAGCATCGGTTGCACCTTCTCCTGCTGAGCTGCTATGTTGATGCAAAAACTCGCAAGCATTTTCAACAGAGTCAATCCTTTCTTTTCCCTTTAGACTGGTTCTCCATACATGACAGCTGCCCGCCAAACGGGCCTTGGGGTCCTCTGAGCTTGTACTGTCAAGAAGGAGACAGTTCTCTATCTGCCCTCTCCAACCACGCTCATTTTAAACATCTGTCATATCCCTCCTAATGATTTCTGTTCACACACAACATCCATCATTTTAGTTGCCTTCCCTGGGCTCTTAGCAGCTCTAATGGCATCTCTTTTTTTTGAGAAAGTGTGGCCAAAACCCGCACTTAATGCTCCAAGGGGTGAGGCTGCTCCACTTACAACCTCTGTTTTTTCCTGCTGGGACAGAGGAAAAAATAAAAATACTGTAGACTTATCTCAAATTGCATTTCCTGTTCCTGCTGTGTAAAGGCCAGCCCAGAGACAGAAATTCATTCTGTCCTGATAGCGAACAAATAGGACTGACCCCGTCCTCGAGGATGTGAGATTAGAATATGAAAAGAGTGCTGTTAAAAACTGAGATTTAACACGAGAAAAGATTGTATATTATTACATCAGTATTACAGAATGCAATTTCTATCATAAGAGATTTGCCATTAATTTGCATGAAACTGATACAGAGTGGCTCTGAGGGCATTTTTTCCCAAGGTAGTGTCTGAATTAGAGAGTTAAAAAAAAGGGGCGGGGGGGGGGGGGGAGGGAAGGAGAAAGCGCCCAGGGTAAAGCGTCCAGGCAGGCGATCGTGGAAGGCCGGCCTCCAAAACCTACACATCCCCACAACTTACCAGAGGCGTCGGGAAGGCACAGCCTCCTCCCGCGGCCGCCCTCGGTCCCTCCTTCCAGGCTCCAGCGCGCCAAATCCCCTGGTGAGGCTCTGCCTGAGGGAGGTGTCAGTGACGGAGCGCCTCCTCGCCTGCCAAGATGGCGGCCCCAAACAAGCAGTGAGTGGTGAGTGGCTGCCTCCCCACCCCCACCCCCCGCAAGTATCGCGGCTCCACCTCTTGTGAAAGCTGATACCCAGAATTAAACTTTGTTGGTCATAAAGGTGCCACTGGACTCAGACTTTGTTCTATTGCTTCAGACCAACTTGGATACCCACCTGAATCTAATAAAAACAAGCAAGCAAAGCATATAAAATTATATATATAAATTAGAAACAAAAATATAACAGCAGTGGCAGATTTACACATATGTTTCTATGAAAGATTTCCAAATAGCTAAAAATGTCTGTATGCAATTGCCACCTATATGCTATGCATTCTGATATGGACAGAGTTTTAGGGTCCTCGATCCATTGATTTACCAGAGGTGGGCATTTATCTCTCCAGTGTTGTAAGACAAGTCTTTTAGCTGCAGTAAGGGTGTGGAGAGTCCATTCTTGTTGACTATTGGCCAGCTTCCAAGAGATGAGCAGACCGTTTAAAAGTACATAAGCACCTTGAGTGGCACTCGCATATTTTGGACTCTGTGGCTCCCTTTGCCACCACCACCACCAAATACAAAGGTCCCAGAAATGGGCTGAACCAAGGTCAGCCAGGTAAGCAGGGAATTCTTGATGGACAAGTGTCATAATGAAGTGAGATGCAATTTGAATTATTTTTACTTGTTGCTAAATTCACTCATGGATCACTGCCTTGTCGTGGCGAGGGGGCTTGTGTAGTTCAATGAAGCTGTGGGCTATGCCGTGAAGGGCCACCCAAGACGGACAGGCCACAGCAGAGAAATCAGAACAAGAGTGATCCCCCTGGAGAAGGAAATGGCAACCCACTCCAGTATTTTTGCCAAGAAAACCCCATGGACAGTATCAAAAGGCTAAAAGATATGACGCCGGAAGATGAGCCCCTCAGGTCGGAAGGTGTCCAATATGCTACTGAGGAAGAGCAGAGGGCAAGTACAAGTAACCCCAGAAAGAGTGAAGCGGCTGGGCCAAAGCTGAAAGGACGCTCAGTTGTGGATGTGTCTGATGGTGAAAGGAAAGTCCGATGCTGCAAAGAACAATACTGCATAGGAACCTGGAATGTAAGATCTATGAATCAAGGTAAGCTTGACGTGGTCAAAAATGAGATGGCAAGACTGAACATCGATATCTTAGGAATCAGTGAACTAAAGTGGACAGGAATGGGCAAATTTAACTCAGAAGACCATTATATCTACTACTGTGGCCAGGTATCTCGTAGAAAAAATGGTGTGGCCTTTATAGTCAACAAGAGAGTGCAAAACGCAGTACTGGGACACAATCTCAAAAATGACAGAATGATTTCGGTCCGATTCCAAGGCAAACCATTCAACATCACAGTAATCCAAGTCTATGCCCCAACCACTGATGCAGAAGAGGCTGAAGTGGACCGGTTCTATGAAGACCTACAACACCTCCTAGAACTAACACCAAAAAATGATGTCCTCATCATCATAGGGGACTGGAATGCTAAAGTAGGAAGTCAAAAGGTAACCGGAATAACAGACAAGTTTGGCCTTGGAAAGCAAAATGAAGCAGGGCAAAGGTTAACAGAGTTTTGTCAAGAGAACACACTGGTCATAGCGAACACCCTTTTCCAACAACCTAAGAGGCGACTCTACACATGGACATCACCAGATGGGCAACACCGAAATCAGATTGACTATATAATTTGCAGTCAAAGATGGAGAAGCTCTATCCAGTCAGTAAAAACAAGACCTGGAGCTGACTGTGGTTCAGATCATGAGCTACTCATTGCAAAATTCAGACTTAAACTGAAGAAAATTGGGAAAACCACGAGGCCATTCAGGTTTGACCTAGATCGCATCCCTGATGAATATACAGTAGAGGTGAAGAATAGATTCAAGGGTCTGGATTTGATAGATAGAGTGCCTGAAGAACTATGGACAGAGGTTCGTGACATCGTACAGGAGGCAGCAATCACCACCATACCAAAGAAAAAGAAATGCAAGAAAGCAAAATGGCTTTCTGATGAGGCTTTACAAATAGCAGAGGAAAGAAGGAAAGCGAAAGGCAAAGGCGAAAAGGAAAGATTTACCCAACTGAACGCAGATTTCCAGAGAACAGCAAGGAGAGATAAGGAGGCCTTCCTGAATGAACAGTGCAAAGTAATAGAAGAAAACAATAGAATGGGAAGGACTAGAGATCTCTTCAAGAAAATTGGAGAAATCAAGGGAGCGTTCCATGCAAAGCTGGCCATGATAAAGGACAAAAACGGTAGGGACCTAACAGAAGCAGAAGAGATTAGGAAAAGATGGCAAGAATACACAGAAGAACTATACAAGAAAGACCTCAATGTCCTTGACAAACACGACGGTATAATCACTGACCTTGAGCCAGACATCCTGGAATGTGAAGTTAAATGGGCCTTAGAAAGCATTACTAACAACAAAGCTAGTGGAGGTGATGGTATTCCAGCTGAGCTATTCAAAGTCTTAGAAGATGATGCTGTTAAAGTGCTGCACTCCATTTGCCAGCAAATTTGGAAAACGCAACAGTGGCCACAGGATTGGAAAAGATCAGTATACATTCCAATCCCAAAGAAGGGCAACGCCAAGGAATGTTCAAACTATCGCACAATTG